ATTTTTAAAAATGCATTGAGGGACAAATCAGAAGTGACAGCAATCTCTGTGCTCAGAGGCTGAAGTTAATATGGATTGGCAATGGGGATTAAGCCTGGTGGGTTTGTGAAACATATTTCAGGCAAAATGGATGAAAACTGATGAGGCAATGGGAGAAAGTGAAAATATTTAAACAGATTACTTGTGCTCTCAGTCTCTGTCCCAGGGCGGGCCATCCATCGCCTCATTATCCATTCCACAAACATTTATGCCTGCCTTGGGAGTCTAGATATGGTCCCGGTCCTCACAGAGGAGGGAGGACAAATATTGGACAAGTAATTAATTACACATGTGATGTGAACTAAGCCATGAGGGGAACCATGGAGATGGGCAGTGGGGTGACCTAATATTTGGAGGGGGTTGGGACAGGCCTCCTTGGAATAGTGATTCTTTTATTATTATTATTATTATTATTTTAGACTTTTTGCTATAGGGCGTGGATGCTCACTAGAGAGACAGAAAGCAGAAATCACCCCCCCCGCCCCCCCGCTGCAATCCTTTCTACTTTGACCTTTTGGGATTTTTGGGTATGCACGCACACCCACCTGGCGTGAGTTTTAAGCCACTGGGTCTAGGAGTTGAACCATGGTCGACTATGTGGGAGTCCAGTGACATACCCATTATGCCATCTGCTAGTTCCAGAATAGTGATTCTTAAGCTGACAGTCAGAGCTGAGTAAGAGCTGGCTAGGACAAGGAAGGAGGGAAAGGAGAGAAGAGACCTCGAAGCTGAGGTACAGGGTACTCGATGGCTCAATGACCTCCATATAATTTCAGAGGACTCTGGTTGAGAAAAATGCACAATAACTAAAACCTACCATGATTTAAGGACGCTTAATGGATTTCTGTTTTATTTATTACAACATCACCGACACGTGCTTGGCAAAATACCCATGTGTATATGCGGGAGGCAAGATTGATGCCGGCTGTAGCTGCTGACGTGTTCCATTGATTTCGGTGAATTCTGCGATGACTCTGTGACACCTCCCCTTGTGTTACGCAGGACACACTTCCTGTCCGTAGGAGGCTGGGAGTTTAGTTGGAGCAATGAGAGTCTCCCCCTACAATCTCTTTGTCTTAATACTTTAGCTTCTTAAGAAACTCTTCCACATTGCCACCATGTCTTCCTTGCATCTGTTCTTATTCTCTGATCACTCTCTGTCACCTCGTCCTCAGTGTGCATCAGACAAGGAGTTCCTAACCTAGATCCATGGACCCACCTCCCACCCTTCCCCAAAGGGACTTGGGTAGAATTCAGACATATGTGAACTGGGGTGGGTGAACTTAGATGGGTAAAAACAAAACAAAACACTTCTTTCTTTTTTTTTTTTTTAAAGAACAGATATTTTATAAAGTATATTATTGTTATTTTTAAATTTGACCAGGAAGAGAGAAGGGGAAAGTGAGAAAACAAGTCACCAGTTCTGGGACTCAACAGTCAGCCATGTAGGAGTACAATGCCTTAACCACCACACCATCTGCCGGCACTAAGAACTCAATTTTTAAGCTCCAACCAGGACTAAAGTCTAGGTCTGCCATCTTAAAAAAACAACAAATTTTACACTCATGATGAACTGAGGAGGACCCAAATGTGTATTCCATTGAATGCTAGGGGGAAAAGAAGCTTGTGAATGTGATAGAGAAAAACCCCCTCCAGACTGGAACTGGACATGTAACTATTCCACCCAGGTTTTCATCATGCCTTGCTCATAGACTGCCTTGAGAGTGAAGTTGGTCTGCAGTGTTGATAAAGCAAAGCATCTGCTTATGGGAACTCATTCGATTAGAATGCTTTTTATTTATTTATTTTTCCCTTCAGTTCTGAATTCCTAGTGCCTGTAACTATGCCTGGTGCCTATTGATATCTGCTTACAGAATAATTTCTGAAATGACCTAAAAATTGAATGACTTTTCCAAAACCTCCCAAAGGAAAGAGGGAAGGTGAGAAAGCAGGTTGCCAGATCCGGGACTTGAACTGTGGTTGTCTGGGTTGAAGTTCAGCATCTCAACCTCCACACCACCTGCAAGCTCCCCTATTTGTTTTCTTTAAGGTTTTTGCCAGAAGGCGCATGCGCTCACCAAAGAGAGACAGAAACAGAGAAAAGGGAAAGTGAGAAATTGCTCCCCCAGGGGGGATGGGCACGCTGCAATCCCTTCTCTATTCTCCTCCTTGGATTTTGGGCACACACACACACACACACACACACACACACACCCAGCATGATTTTTTCAAGCCACCAGGTGTGGACTCACACTGTGGTTGACCATGTGAGAGTCCAGCGCCTTCACCACTATGCCGCCTGCCCCTCACTTCTTTATTTGTAAGTTCTACCTAAACGCCAGCAATTTTCCCTTCTATTATGGATGTAGACATAAACCATAGCCATGTTATTGGTGCCTGCAGCTTTGTCACCAGCAGAAGTCACATATTTGCATACCACGTGAGTAGCTGCTGCTGCTACCTCAGAATGAATGCTCGTCGCTACTTTGAAATTATGGCAATTTTTAGACTTGTTGCTAGGTCTTATTATTTAGTGCATTAATAAAGACACACATATTACTATATCCCAAATTAGTTTTTTAAGAGTATTTTGATAACTGTATTTCAATATAATTGCTTCCTTTGTAACCCGGCGTGTTTTATTTCAGGCATTTGAAACCATGACGATAAGAAGAGTCCTTCAGCTTCTCAGGGCCGCTGAAAGGACTCCACGCGTAGGGAAGGTAAGAGAACTCTGTGGAACTCGAAGTCCTTGAGCCTGGCCTCGCTCTCCTCTCTCTGGGTGGGGAAATGACGTCCGAGGATTGAGCAGTGGTGGGGAACGGTTGGCGGCACTTCTGTTCCCTCTGTGGGCCCCTCTTCTACAAAAGATACTAAACACGATTTTATTAAGACAGCGTTCGTTGGCCTGGAGATGACTATAATCTAGGCTGAGCTCATGATTATCCTATTCACTTGTTTTCTTCTGCTTTCGTTTTTGTGGATGCTTGGCCCTGGGCTTGCCGTGCCTGACGGAGAGGCTGGCCCTGAGTGAGCTCACACGTTCCTGTTTTGCCAGCTATCGCCTATGTTCCGTGTCACTCAGGTCTTCATTCCCAGCCTCCTCATCTATTTTTTAAATTTTTATTTCTTTAGTTTTTCAGTTTTGCTAGAAGGTATGTGCCCTTGCCAGAGAGAGACGGGGGGTGGGGGGAAGAGAAAGCATGCCCCCTGGGGGATGGCCATGACACAGTCCCTTCCGCTCCATTCTCCTTCCAAGATTTTGGACACACACACACACACACACACACCTGGCATGTTTTTCAAAACTCTGGGTGTCATGTGGGATCCAGCCACCTTAACTGCCATGCCACAAGCTGGCCTTCTCTCTTTTGTTTTAATTGACAGAGGGCGCATGTCTGAGTGTGCGTAACAGAGAGAGAGAGAGAGAGAGACATTCCTCAATGGGATGGAGTCATGCCACAATCCCCTCTCCTCCATCTCTCCATTCTGATGGGATTTGATGCACACACGAACATGTGTTGAGTTTTTTTGATTTTTTTCTTTTTTTTCAGATTTTTGCCATAGGGTGCATGCACTTGCTGGAGAGAGACAATGAGAGGGAAAGTAAGAAATCGCCCCCGGGGGGATGGCCATGTTACAGTCCCCTCTTTGCCATTCTCCTCTCGGGATTTTGGGCACGCATGCACATGTGCCTGGCCCGAGTTTCAAGCTGCCGGGTCTGGGACTTGAACCACAGTTGCCCATATGGGAGTCTAATACTTTAATCACCACACCATCTGCTGGCCCTGTGTCCAGTATCAAGTCACCTGTGGCTGGGATTCGAACAGCAATTGGCCACATGGGATCCAGCTTCCCTAACCACTGGGCTACAGGGCTGGCTCTTTTAAACAAACACCTGGGTCATTTTTTAGGGGGCAGTTCTTGGACTACCATTCCATTCTCTTTCTAATACACCACTCAACAGAAATTTCTAGTATCCTTTTTTTTTTTTTTTATTGTGGAAAGGTGCTAGTTAGGTGAGATATTTGAAATATCCAGTAAGAGTATGCCACATTGACTGTACTAACCAGAACTCAGAAGACTGAGACCCTCTGGTGCCAGGTTTGTGGGGAGAGTCACCCCCAGGAGGGACTGGGTAGTGGTAATGGTGCTAAAGGGAAGGCGAGGAATAAGATCTTGATAGGAATAGCTATTTACTAACTGATGGAAGTACTTTCTTCTTCTGTTTTTAAAATTTGCTATAGAGCATGTGTGCTCACCAGAGAGAGGCAGGAAGAGAGAAAGGGAGAAAGCACCCCTTGGGGGAGATGACAACAGGGCAACCCCTTCTCCTCTCCAGATTTTGGCCATGCGCACACACACGCCCCGTGTGTTTTTCGAAGCTGCTGGGTCCAGGACTCAAACCACTCAGTCAGTCATGTGGAATGCAGCCACCTTAACCACCATGCCACCTAGCAGGCTCTGGAAGTATGTTCATATTGTAACAATCAGTGTGGGCATATGGGCTGAATAGTAGCCATGTCTTTGGTAGCACGTGCATGTGTACACGTGTGTATTCGCTTGTGTGCGTGCCCTGCTGGACTGAGAGCACAGAGAAATGCAATCTAGTGCTCATCCCAAACCTCTCTATAATCAACAGCTTCACTCAGCTCCTGCCATGGGCTTTGGACTACCTGCAAAACTGATGGATTTAGGGACCAGCAGATGGCATACTGTTAACGTTGCCGGACTCCCACATAGTCGACCGGTTCAAGCCCCTGACTTGGCAGCTTCAAACTCACACCGGGCGTGTGTGCATGCCCAAAATTTTGAAAGGAGAATGGAGGAGAAAGGATTGCAGTATGATTTCTTGCTTTCTGTCCCTCTGTCTCTCAGTGAGCACACACACCCTATAGAAAAAAATCTCTCTTGAAACAAAACAAAACAAACAAATAAAAACACAAAAAAACTGGGACCAGCAGTTGGCGTAAGGCTATGTCACTGGACTCCCATGTAGTTACCCGTGGTTCGAGGCCCAGACCCAGTGGCTTAAACTCACGCCGGATGTGTGTGCATGCTTGCCCAAGATTCCAAGAAGAGAATGGAGAAGGGATTGGTGTGGCCATCCCTCCCCGGGGGGTGATTTCTCGCTTTCTGTCTCTCTGGTGAGCACACATGCTCTATAGCAAAAACCTCTCCAAGAAAACAAACAAACAAACCAAAAAGTCACCAAAGCTGATGGATTTAAATGTCAGCTTCTGTCCCTTTTTTCCTACCTCTGTCAAAAATATGACTGGGCAGGTTGACAAAGAAAAGAAAGGCCTTAAAATAACTAAGGAAGAGGAACATCAGAATTCCCTGGACCACTAGTTTAAGATGTAGATTGTGGGGCCAGCAGGTGGCGTGGTGGTTAAGGCACTGGACTCCCACATGTGTTGATTTCTCACTTTCCCTCTCTCTCTCTGTGTCTCCCTCTGGTCAAATTAAAACACACACACACACACACATATATAAATAAAGTTAAATCAAAATAAGTCTTGGAGCCAGCAGGTGGCACGGTGGTTGAAGTCACTGGACTCCCACACGGTCAACTGTGGTTTGAACCCTAGACCTGGCAGCTTGCTTTCTCACTTTCCCTATCTCTCTCTCTGTCCCTCTCTGATCAAATTAAAATAAATACATAAATAAAGTTAAAATAAGCAGTATAATCTTTTGAAAAAAATAATAATTCTTAAAAAAAAAAAAAAAAAGGATGACGATGGCAGGGGCTGGATTATGGCACCGAGGTCATGCAGTACTCCATAAGGGTGACCCAGATGGAGAGGTTCTGGGTTCACATCCAGAAGCTTCCTTGAACCCAGTGGGCACATGCGTGCCTGCGATCCAGGACTGACTGCAACGAGGGGTGGATTGTGGTGTGAAGACCCCATTAGGGTGCTGTCAGTCTGTCTCTGTCACTCATGGGAGAAAAAAACAAATAAACTTTTTTTAAAAATGCAGGTTCTAGAGCCCCTGTTTAAAGCCCATCAAATTAGATTCTAGGTCAGAATCACAACCTTGCATAATCCATGGGTTCCCCAAGTAACTCTGATGCACATTGAAGGTTAGGAACTATCGGTTTAAGGTTATTGTTTTTCAGATCTGGTTGTGCATTAGAATTACCTGGAGGGTTTGGGACCAGCAGGTGGCGTAATGGCTATGTTGCTGGACTCCCACGTAGTCGACCGCCGTTCAAATCCCGGACCTGGTGGCTTAAACTCACACAGGATGCATGTGCGTGCGTGCGTGCCTAAGATCCCGAGAGGAGGATGGAGGAGAAGGGATTGCAGTGTGGCCATCCCCCCCAGGGGGTGATTTCTTGCTTTCTGTCTTTCTATCTCTCTCTGTCTGGCGAGTGCACGGGCCCTACAGCAAAAACCTCTTCCAAAAAAAAGAAGAAATAAAAACAAGAATTACCTGGAGGGTTTTAAAAATACAGATTACTAGACCTCACTTCAAATCACTTAAGCCAGAATCGTTAAAGGTGGGGCCCCTGCATTTGTATTTTTTTTTTTTTAAGAATTATTGGGAACCAGCAGTTAGCGTAATGGCTATGTCGCTGGACTCCCACGTAGTCAACTGCGGTTTGCGTCCCGGACCCAGTGGCTTAAAACTCACGCCGAGCGCGTGTGCGTATATGCCCAAGATCCTGAGAGGAGAATGGAGGAGAAGGGATTGCGGCATGACCATCCCCCCGGGGGGTGATTTCTCGCTTTCTGTCTCTATGTCTCTGTCTGTCTGGCAAGCGCACGCGCCCTATAGCAAAAATCTCTCCAAAAAAAAAAAGAATTATTTTTATTTAATTCTATTTATCTATGTAAATTTGACCAGAGAGGAAAAGAGTGAGAGAGCAAGAGTGAAGCGGCGGTGGGGGTGGAGTGAGAAAGCAAGCTGCCGGGTCCAAGACTCGAACCATGGTTGGCCATGTGGGATTTCAGCACCCTTACCCACCATGCGACTTACAGGCCCCATGCATTTGTATTTTTAACTACCACCCCCACCCCCCCTTGGAGATTATTTGCAGTCAAGTTTGAGAACTGCTGGTTTAGGAAATTCTTAAACTATCTAAACAATCCTTGAACAGTAGAGTTGAATGTTTACCTAATAAGTGATTTTCTCTCTGGAATTTGATCTTACATGCTGCTTCTTTTTTTTTTTTTAATATTGGGAAGAAAGAAAATGCATTCTTATTCTGACTGCTGTCAGTGCAAGCTGCATCGCAAGTCAAGTCATGCATTTCTATTCTGGATGAGGCATCATGATTATTAAGGTCTTGAGAGTCTCCTGAGTGTGGGCAGAGCGAGCGTCTGTGACTTAACATTCAATGGCTTCCTGTTAATCAGCAGGGCAGATGGCTCTGAGCCTTTCTGCAGCACCTGGTGTCCATGGATTGTTCTGCACACTCCCCCTTTTCCTCCCCGGTGCATGAGAGAATAATAAGGTACAGACATTTCAGGGGGGTTGTTCAAGGCTGGATATCTTGCAAATGTCATGATCAAGGACAGAATCTCTGAAGTCAGGTTATACAGCACAAAACGGTGAGTGGACAATATCCTGGGTACAGACAGCAGATGCCATGGAGAGTGGAACGGCTGGACCCCACATGGTCGACTTCACAGTTCGAGTCCTGGACTGGGAGTTTGAAAATCATGCCTGGTGCGTGTGTGTGTGCGTGCACGCGTGTGTCTTTGTGTGCTCAAAA